AGTTATGATATATACTTGAGCTTTAGAACCATATTAGGAAAAAGAATGATGAGACTCTTTAATTGAAGGATAGGTCTATCATTCCTAGAATTCACTGATCAATCTTGGCACTCCTAAAGTGGGAGAACCAGATATTATAGTCTTCCACCTAGATGCACCTGGGACATATTCTTGCCACCCCCCCCCCAAATTAAACCTGAATCCATTCTATTCTTTATGCTTGAATTCCAATTAATTGGAAATACACGTGATAGAAGAATAAGATAAACAATATTATGAGGGAGCAAAGAACAAATTTAGAGTTTAGGGTGGACAATCCAGTTTCTTCAACAAGTCAGTGGCGTGGGAAAAGGGTTGGGGAGGAAAGGGGTAAGGAACTGTTCCAGAATAAAAGGACTCCAAAGACAAAATAATTAGGAAATGTACATCTTGTTTGGGTCCTGATTCCAATAGCCAACTAAAAAAATCTGAATTCAGACTGTGTATTAGATGATATTAAGGAATTGTTGATTTTGTTAGATGTGATAATAGTGTTGTGGTTATGTAAGAAAGTGGTTGTGTTTTTTTTTAGAGAGAGATGCATACAAAAGTAGGGTGAGACAAAATTATGCCAAGATTTGCTTTAGGTTTCTACAGCAAAAAAAAAAAAAAAAGAAGAAGAATTAAGAGGGAAATAGGTTAAATGATGCAAGTAGAGCAAAATGTTGAGGACTCCTGAATCTCAGGGATTCTTTATACCATTTTCTCTACTTTCATGTGTATTTGAGACTTTCATAATAAAAAAAGAAAATTTAAAGTGGTCTGCAAAAACAATATGTTTATTAGAGTATATTTATTTCTGTTCTAGTCTTTGTCACAGCATATTGTAATTATTTGTATGTACCAGTATTTCTCAAACTATCACTCTTGAAAGACCAACTTTTTTTTTTAAGATTTTATTTATTTATCTTTAGAGGGGAAGGGAAGGAGAGAGGGAGAGAAACATCAATGTATGGTTGCCTTTCTTGCATCCCCTGCTGGGAACTGGCCTGCAGGGAACCTGCCTGCAACCCCAGTATGTGCCCTGACTGGGAATTGAACCGCGATTGTCTGGTTCGCAGGCCCGCGCTCAAAAAAGACCGACTTTTTAATTGTCCAGTCTGTCACAGACCATGACTTTTGTAATGTAATGTACAATCAAAACCAGAAAAACAAAAGGACATACAAAATATAACCTTAAAAAGTTTTGTGCCCCAGCTGGGTGGCTCAGTTGATTGGCGCATCATCCCATACACCAAAAGTTTGTGCGTTCAGTCCCTAGTCGGGGCACATGTGCGAGGAAACCAGTCGATGTTTCTCACATTAGTGTTTCTCTCTTCTCTACCCCCTTCATCTCTCTCTAAAATAAATAAGCATATCCTCAGGTGAGGATTTAAAAAAAAGTTTTGTTATAAAAGTCAACGAGCATAAAATTACATTTTACTTAACTGTCAATAAAAATGCAAGCATAGGGAAAAACTTTTTGGAAATCATATTAATTCATCAAAAATACACACATAGGCAATTAGTGTAAAGAAGGGCTATGACACTCATAAGTTTCTCCTATAATAATTAAGAATTTAAAGTGAAACATGAGCGTGCTTTTTGCATCTTAACTTGAGGTCCTTGTTTATTAATTTGAGCTTGGATTGATAACAGTGCCCTTCACAGAGGATGATGTATACCTAAACTGATTTTATTTGTAGACAGGATTTTGCCCCAGTTACTTTTGGTACTAATTTCTCAGCAGATGATATAGTTTCAAAGGATGCCTACCTTGCAGAAATCCTAAAGAATGGGGAAGATAATAGGTAAACCGTAATATTCACTTAGATTTTTGCTTAAGGTTTGAAAATACTACTTCTTTAAATAGTTGGTCTCTCGATCTCTGGAACGCAAATGTTGCCATTTTTCTCAAACTGTTTGCTATATATTTATTGACAGGTGATGACTATGACTTTACATGGTAATTTTAGGTTGGGATGTACCACACCTTTGTTTTTCACACAGTGCCCTCCTTGCCAGACTTTAAAGCTTTTCTTTCCCTTTGGCTCTGGTGGTACTTATTTTTGACTTTGCTTCAAACAAATACCAATTGGTACAGATTCATGTGTACTTCCCACGGCTCATTTGTAGGAGATAGTTTGGGTTCTTTTTCCATATATATTAATCTGATCTGATGATCAGATCAAATCACATCAGATCTGTTAGGTTTCTCTGTTTTGCCAAAGTCTTAAAAATCTTTTCCACTTACACATACTGACTCAGCATTTTCAACAGGAAGAAATTTTGTCTGTCTGGGAAGCAAATCATTTGTCTATGGAATAACTGCCTCACTTAGTGATATAATTTAAGTAGCATGTGGTGTGAAGTTGTAGGAAAAAATCTTACTAGCCAAAAGAGATTCCTCTACCAAAAACATTACATTCCCCCCATTAACTTACAATTGCCCCAAGGGTCCAAAACTTCATTGTGGATTCCCCAGCTCATCCAGTATAAAGGAGGCTCAAGTTTACTCATGACTAGAAAGCACATTGTCCACCTGCCATTTACTTAAATGTAGTTTGGACATTTTCACTGAAAAGTCTACATATTTGTTCTTAAGTGATCCTTTTTCCCTCTCAGAATTATGAATGGCTACTATGTGGCCTCTATAAAGGCAAAGGGAAGATGTAATGAATTGATTATCTCCCAGTTTGTGATTATAGCAGACAATAAAACAATATACAAGATGTCCACACACAAAATGTCCACTTAAATTTAAAGGCTACATACAACTCATAGAATGTAACGCTGCTACTCCACGTTTTATACTACTATTATGGAAAGGTTCATGATAACATCTGTGATAAAATCTTAAGTACCTAAATATTTAAATACTCCACCTAAGATGTTTTGTACATAGCGCTAAGCATTGTGGGGAGTTCAGAGGAAGGTGATACCATCCCTATCCTCAGGAAGCTTTAATGAAGGAGTCTTTTATTTTGTGAAGCATAGTGTGCTAGAGTTAGGGCTGTGTGTGTGTCCAAACATGAACACACGCTGGGGTATTTATGATATAGATGCAAATAATTAAAGTGTGAGGCAGTGTGTTATGTGTCAAGGAGTTCAGAGAAGAGATTTGAAGTGATTTCTATTTAAAGTGATGAGGGGCTGTTTAAGATCAAAGTGGCATTTGAGGAGGGTTTTGAAAGGGTGGTTAGGATTTCAGGAGGAGTCTGATAAAGAAGCAGCTCGATGTAGTAAAAAAATAATTAAAAGTTTCTAATTCTACACCAGCCATTCACTTACTAAATAAATGAATTCTGCCAGATTCCTTACTTCCACTGATTATCAGTTTCCTTAAATATAAAATAGGAATTAGAGGGGAGCTTTAAGTGGGTGGAGGGATAGTGCAAAAAAGAAAAAGAGAGAGAACTCATGGACAAGGACAACATTGTGATGAGAGTGGAGGGAGGAGGGTGGGTGGAGGTGGAAGACAAAATGCGGATAAATAGTAGTGGAAAAATACAACAAAAAATAATGTGTAGCCCTGGCTGGTGTGTATCAGTGGATTCAGTGCTGGCCTGCAAACCAAAGGGTCACCGGTTCAATTCCCAGTCAGGGCTCATGCCTGGATTGCAGGCCAGGTCCCTGGAAGGGGGTGAGTGAGAGGCAAGCACACATTGATGTTTATTTCCTTTTCTCCCTCCCTTTCTTTCTCTAGAAATAACTAAAGAATTTTTCTTAAATAATATATAATAAAAATAAATAAATAAAAGAAATTAGAGTAAGAGTTATAGAGCAGTTGTTAGGAAGATTAAGTGAGATACCATAATATGAACATGCTTTATAAACTGTGTAGAGCTGTACATACTTTAGTAAATTTTGTAGTAGATTTGAGGATGACATGAGCCAAAGGCATGGAATTTGAAAACTAGTAAACCACATAGCCTAGAGCAGAAAATGTGTTGAAGGTGACTATGATTACGGATTCACCTGTACACTTCCTTACTTGGGAAAATAATTAAATAGAAAAGCCTATCATGATTTATTTTGTCCTTTCCGTCAAAAGATCATGTCAGAGGACTTTAAGATCTTTAGGTGAAACTTGTATGAGTTGAATATTTGGTTTTATTAAATCTATATAAACATGCAGAATTAATTTTCAGGTAAACTGATTTAATAGAAATTATAACATTGCACAAAGGTAACTAAAGTATCTTATAAAGAATATATATGTTTTCAGAACTTTGTCTATCATAAGGGTGCTCAGTGGGGGAAAAGGTACAGGGAATAAGAAGCCTAATTAGTAGGTACAAAATAGACAGGGAGATGTTAAGAATAGTATGAGAAATGAAGAAGCCAAAGAACTTATATGCATGACCCATGGAAATGAACTAAGGTGGGAAAATGATGGTGGGAGGGGGAGTGCAGGGTGGAAGGGAATAAAGGGGAGAAAAAAATGGACAACTGTAATAGCATAATCAATAAAATATATTAAAATTAACAAAAAAGAAAAAAACAAAGTGTGAATTATTTAAGCTACTTCCAGGAACCATTGTATCTCATGTTACAAATGCTTTGTGTAATAACTACATGAAAATGATTTTTTAAAAGAAAGATAATTCTTGTGTGATGGAGTGTCAGAGAATTGATTCATGTTCTTTGTTTTACATAAATTTTAATTTTTAAGTATGGTTAGGAATATTCAATATTCAGTACATTGTTCAAGAAAGAACAGGGAGAGCTTGGGCACAAAAGACACTGAGTTTTACTGTGACTATTGTGCCACCTGCTCTTGTCTAGTCTTGGACTCAGTTTTTCTGGACTCTAGAGAAATACGACTGGAATTACTTTTCTTAAGGCAAGGTACTTGGAAAACAGCATGTTATTTGAACAATCGTTAGTCATTATAAAAGCTTTCTGAGAAAAAAATCTGAATCCTAATAGCAGGGTCATTTTATTTTGGTAAATATTCTAAATTCTCTTTTCTTTTACAGACTATCTTGCTAATCATGGCCGGTTAAATGAGTCCGAGGCCAGGCGTAAATTCTGGCAAATCCTATCTGCTGTTGATTATTGTCATGGTCGGAAGATTGTGCACCGGGACCTCAAAGCTGAAAATCTCCTGCTGGATAACAACATGAATATCAAAATAGCAGGTAACTGGGACACAGCTGGCTCTCTAACATGATCAGTTGTGAGCCATTGTGCTAGGTTTTTACAGAAACAGACTGTAGGCCGAGATTTGGGAGCATTTCTACTGAAGACAAGCTTTCTAAAAAAAATAAGTGCATTTTATTCACTTCCTTAGACCCAGGCCCAGTGTAAGGGAAATCAATTTGTTATTAATGTACACAGTGGCAGAGCTACAACTGGTGTCTCGTTTGTCTGATTTGTGGCCATGTCCGTTTCGGGGGCTGTGCTGTTGGAGAGGGACTGGTAGGTCTAGAGCAGCAGTGCTGGTTGCTGGCACTATACCCAGCTCCTGATCCTGGCTGGTGGCTGCAGTGAGGTTACAGACAGGAACAGAAAAAAAGGGGAATGTGGATTGATACAGGGAGAGCAGGTAGGCGAAGATCAGAGTATGAAGGGTCTCGAGTGCATTGAAAAAGACTTTAAAGTTTATTTTGTAGGTCATAGGCAGTCTAACCTATTGAAAATTTTAGGGTGGGGACAGGGATGGAATGGATGACGATGAGATTTGCATATTAAAAAGATATCACTCTCTGACAGCAAAGTCAGGTGGGAGATGTGGATAAGACTAAAGACAGGAAGATTAATAAGGAATCTAGTGCAATAGTTCTATTAAGAAAATGTGGGTATGAACTAGGGCAGCAGCAGTGGGGGTTCCAGGGGTTGGATGGAGAGGGGTCTGTTTTGGTTAGGGTTTTGAAGGTGAGGGGAATAAAACAATTTTAGCAAAATTACAGGTGCTGGTGTTTTGTTCTTGGCTTATGAAAGAGAAACAGAGAGACATCCAGATGAGAGCAGCTGGCCAAGAAATTATTGCTTGACTAGTTAGGTTAGATATTCACTAGAAAAAGTTTAGAGAGTAAACAGTTCCTTGGAGTATAAAATGTAAGTTAAAAGCCTCTGAGGAAAAAGGAAAGCCTCTGATTTGTTCATTTAATCGGGTTATTTCTCCACCATTTTCCATTAGTTTCTATCCTGAGCATTTTGAGGAAAGTAAATAATTAATTTTCACTTACTCTGCTTTAACTTTCATTTACCTTGATTTTAATAATTCATTTTAAATGCCAGTGTTACAGGGAGGTAATGGATTTTCTATTCTGTAGTCTGTGATTTTTTTTAATAATGGGATTGCCTTAAAAAGACAAGTTATTTTGTTATATTCCTATTATATATATAAAGATTTATTATATTGACCTGTCATTTTGGTTTTGAAAATGCAATCCACTATATTAGTACTTCCATAATTTCTTATGTGTTCACTTCTCCCATTTGTGGGGTTTTTTTCTTCCTTCTTCTTTTGGCCTTTCCATTTGGTTTCATTCACTTCACTCCTTTTTGCCAACCTTCTGTAATGCACGAAGGTCACTGGAATTTTTGTTTACTTCTCTTTAAAAACATCTCCTGCACTAAAATTACCACCTTTAGAGAACACTCTTGCTTTTGAAGTCCTTCACTCTATAGAAAGAAGGGGAAACCCTTCCTCACCTTTACATTCATTTATCACCAAAACAAGAAATTCACAAAACACTGCCTGAGAGGAGTTTTGGCAGTGTTTTCAGGCAGAGAAAGGTGAGAGGTCTGAGTCATATGCTTTAGGAATTCCAAAGTGCTCTGTCACTAACTTCTCAAAAGAATATGTCCAATAGAACCAAAGACCCTTGGAAACAAAATATACTCAGTTTTGCCTAGCTATATGTCCACTTGAATATGGGTAGGTAAACCCAATATTTTCAGTGTCATTATGAGATGGCTGATTTCTTGTGTGCTTTTGCTGTTTTCATTTTTGTTTTTCAATATCTAAACTTAAGTACTCATTTTTATCTAGAAGACAGGTAAAATGTCTGAGACCTAGAGTCTTCAGTATTTTCAGATACCCTGCTAGGTACTTGTACCATTTAATCTTCACAGCAACCCTAGGAACTGCATCACTCTTGCCAGTTTTTAGATGAGAAAGCTGAAATACAAAAAGATTAAAAAGCTTGCCAAGGTAACTCAGATCGTAGGAAGCAGACCTAGAATTCCAACCTGTGTCTCTGACCAGTCAGTGTCTGTGTTTCCTCCTCTACACTGTGCCGTCATGTCCAGGCCTTACTGTCAGTTACCCCTCGGGGCTTAGTCACTAACCAGATTTTGGGTTCCATCCTTCTGTACTGATACACTTAGTGTCCTTGATTTTATTCCCCCCAAGTATAGATACACACAGTGCATCTAAGCACTCAAATACGTTCCTGCCCACATTTTTTTCTGTCATCCTCACCACCATTTACCCAAATTTCATTAAATGTTTATTAAGCATTTGCTTTGCTTCTGAGCTAAGTCCTGGAAATGCAAATATTTCAAGACAAAACAACAATGCAAAACTCAACTCTGCTCTTACCTCAAGGAATTAATCCAGAACCAGATCTTCAAATAAGTAAAACACAAAAAGGTAATTGTTGTAAAGGAAGGAGAAAGACTAACTCTGCCTGGAAGAAAGTATTAACTAAGACCTGCTTAAGAAGAAATCAGTGCGATAGGGTGAGAAGGGGTTGAGGGGGTAAAGCACAGAGGGCAGCTCCAAGCAGATGTGCAAAGACAGGCAGTCCAGAAAACTCAGTATGTAGGGGCACTCCAGAGCAGAACTGGTGAGACATTGGTGCCATTGAGGAGTGCTAGGAACAGAGTCTACACAGGTAGGTAGAGCCTGATGAGGAAGGGTTCTACTATATGCCATAAAAAGCTTAGATGTGTTCTAAATTCATTAGCTAGCTGTTAAAGAATTTCTCTGGGATATTTCTTTTTATGCATAGATGTTATAACTTTTTTATGGCCCTGCTTTCCTTTAAAAACATCATCTTCTGATTTCAAAGGATTCTTCTTTTCTTTCAAGTATATTTTATTGATTATGCTATTACAGTTGTCCCATTTTACCCCCTTCATTCCCCTCCAAACTGTACACCCTCTCCCACCCACATTCCCCCCTTTAAGTTCATGTCCATTTAGTTCTTCAGCTTCTACATTTCTCATGCTATTCTTGCCCTCCCCCCTGTCTATTTTCTACCTACTGACTATGCTACTTATTCTCTGTACCTTCTCCTCCCTTATCCTTCTCCCACTCCCCTGTTGCTAACCCTCCATGTGATCTCCATTTCTATGGTTCTGCTCCTGATCTAGCTGTCCTCTTAGTTTGCTTTTGTTTTAGGTGTGGTTGTTAATAAGGCAGGTGAGTTTGCTGTCCTTTCACTGTGCATATTTTTTATCTTCTTTTTCTTAGATAAGTCCCTTTAACATTTCATATAATAAGGGCTTGGCGATGATGAACTCCTTCATCTTGACCTTATCTGAGAAGCACTTTATCTGCCCTTCCATTCTAAATGAAAGCTTTGCTGGATAGAGCAATCTTGAATGTAGGTCCTTGCTTTTCATGACTTGGAATACTTCTTTCCAGCCCCTTCTTGCCTATAAGGTGTCTTTTGAGAAATCAGCTGACAGTCTGATGGGAACTCCTTTGTAGGTGACTGTCCCCTTATCTCTTGCTGCTTGTAGAATTCTCTCCTTCATTTTAATCTTGGCTAATGTAGTTATGATCTTCCTTGGTGTGTTGCTGCTTGGGTCCACCTTCTTTGGGACTCTCTGAGCTTCCTGGACTTCCTGGAAGTCTATTTTCTTTGCCAGATTGGGGAAGTTCTCCTTCATTATTTGTTCAAGTAAGTTTTCCACTTGTTGCTGTTCCTCTTCCCCTTCTGGTACCCCTATAATTCGGGTGTTGGAATGTTTAAAGATGTCCTGGAGATTCCTAAGCCTCTCCTCATTTGTTTGAATTCTTGTTTCTTCATTGATTTCTGTTCGATCATTTTTTTCTTCCTTCTGGTCCACTCCCTTGATTTGAGTCCCAGTTTCCTTTCCATCACGATTGGTTTCCTGTGCATTTCCCTTCATTTCAATTAGTCTAGCCTTCATTTGTTCCTCTAATTTGTGACTAAAATCAACCATTTCTGTGAGCATCCTGATCACCAGTATTTTGAACTGTGCGTCTGATAGGTTGGCTATCTCTTGGTCGCTTAAAAGTATTGGCTCTGGGGCTTTGAGCTGTTCTTCTGGAGCCATAATGTTTTGGTCTGTTCACACCTGTTATGTATGAGGTGTGGAGCCTTAGGTGTTCACCAGGGCAGGGCGACCCAGTCACTTAGTTGTGACACTGTATGTGGGGGCGGAGTCAGAGAAGGGCATTGACATTTGTTCTGCTCTCTCTCGGATTTCGGTCTCCTCTGCTGCTTCCCGCAGGCAAACCAGACCCCCCTGGTGCCGGCTCCTGGATGTATGGGCCTGTGCACCCTCCAGGACCCTGTGGGTCTCGCCAACAAACTCTCTGTGAGCCTGGGAGCTTCTCCCGGCACCTTGACCCCAAAAGTTTTTCCAATTGGTGCTTTTAGGCTTTAATTTCCGGTTCTGGGGCCCTGGGTTGTGTGGTCTGTCTCACTATCTGTTTTTTTTTCCATCTGGTTTATCTGCACGCCAACGTATGACAGCCGCCGCCTTGCGCCGTTACTGGGTCCACCCTTTGCCACCCCATGCCTGGGATCCTCCAACCGCTGCCTGTGCTCCTGGGTCATTCCAGCCACTTTTTCCTGCCCAACCGCACTCAGCCAGCCACTGACTCCGCCCCTCTTACTGGTCTGGATGAACAGTTCATTGTTGTCGGACTTCCATACAGTTCAATTTTCTGTGTTTTGGTTGTGTTTTTGTTACTAAAACTTTGTTATCTTTAAACTTGATTCTGGGAGGAGGCACAGTGTTTCCACCTACGCCTCCATCTTGGCTGGAAGTCCCTGAATTCTTGTTTCTTCATTCTTTTCTGGTTGAATGTTACTTTCTTCCTTCTGGTCCACTCCATTGATTTGAGTCCCAGTTTTCTTCCCATCACTATTGATTTCCTGTACATTTTCCTTTATTTCACTTAGAGAAGCCTTCATTTTTTCACCTACTT